TTGTCTCTTTGCACTGTGTTCACATAACCTTGTATACTTGCGTCAAACATTACCTTGGCGCTCTTTACATAAGGCTTTAGCAACATCCGGATTTTATTGGTCTACTTATGGTTCCTTCTTCATAGTTTATGGGTAATTGAAGTATGTTCGTTTTGTTGTTCCTACGTGACTAACCATTGTTGTTTTATAGGAAGAGACCTGCATAAACCCAGATAAGCTTTATGACGAGTGGGAGAAGAGTATCATCGGAGAACAGCTGGATCAACATCAGTCTACAGCCATGATAGGAAAACCACACACCTGTGACCAGTGTGAGAAGAGTTTTGGGAATTCAGGCAATTTGAAGATTCACAAGCGAATCCACACTGGAGAAAAACCCTTCACCTGTGACCAGTGTGAGAAGAGCTTTAGCAAGTCAGGCTATTTGAAGATTCACAAGCGAACCCACACTGGAGAAAAACCTTTCACCTGTGACCAGTGTGAGAAGAGCTTTAGCCAGTCAGGCAATTTGAAGATTCACAAGCGAATCCACACTGGAGAAAAACTCTTCACCTGTGACCAGTGTGAAAAAACTTTCAGGGACTCAGACTCATTGAAGCGCCACCAGATAAACCACTCCTTTGACCAGTGGAAGAAAGAGTTCAGTGACTCATACAGTGTGAATCTCCACCAGCCTACCCACACTGGAGAAAAACCTGACGTCTGTGCTCACTGTGAGAAGAGTCTCAGAGAACCAGACCACATGGGAGAACACCTTCACTAGTGCACTGACTGTTCAGAAAGAGTGAGGTGGACTGTTTGACACAACTCACTGTTAAAATATGTTGTGTGGATTTTAAAAGTTGTTCAAATGTTCTCAATAACATTCAAATGATGCACTTAAATTGTCAACTTGTATTTGTTTCCACAGCAAACACACACACAAAGCTCCCTAAAGAACAAGGCACCACAGTCACTTAAATGTAATAATGCTATAAATGAGGTAATTTAACAACAAGCTAAAGCCAACTGATTTCTAAAAGTGTGCATAGAGCCTTTAGTCTCATATAAGCTAGATAGAGCGTCACTTTGAACCATAAACTATTACCATTGCTGACTGTACTCATTCAGGCCATTTTACCATCAGAAAGAGGTTCCACAGGGGTCTATCCTTGGTCCATTCATTTTTTCATTAGATGTAACATAACTCTTTCTAATCAATATTTCAATGTCAATATTTTTGCTGATGCCGACGCTTTATCACAACCATTAAATGTCAACAGCTAAACAGATGTCTGTGAATTATATAAAAAAAATAACATCTTTAGAAAGCTTCAGAATATAGACAGGAATACAACTTGAAAGTCTTGTAAGTGAAAATGCCTTCCTCTAATTTCAACGACCTTTAAATATATTGTAACTATATACTGTAGCTATATATTTTGTAAGACACTACGGGTCAATACATGTTAAGGTAATACACATCACCATGAAACCTCAGTTATTAAATTGCATTAAGATAAATATATTTTTGTATGATACTGTACGTTAGTAAAATAAACTCCTCAAGGTGTACATATCAACTAAACTCCAAATAAATAAAGGTTACGCTAACAGGCTAAACTAGCCTCATTACTTTGACGAATTGCAGAGAAAGAGTACGTGCTGAAGTTCCATGATGTTTTATAAAGAAAATAAAACCAAACGTGACCAAAGAAAGATTACACGTGCTACAGAAAACACCCGAGGAGGCAGCTCACCTTCTTCGTCATCTAAACCTCGGGATACAATAGGTGGACTAAATACCATTAAACCACACCCAGGTAACAGTTGCTGCGTGAGGTGCAAACAATTAATTATAATAATAGAAATAATTAATAATGACTAAATAATATATTCTGAATGTTTCCTTTCCACAATTATGGAAGCATTCTCAGAAGGACATTATTTATAGTATTTTCTGTGAATCCTGAGTTTTGCGTCTTTTATAATGAGTTTTTTAAAAAGTATTAAAGCCCATAAATTCATGAAAAATAAGAGTGCAACACAACTGTTGAGCGTAATAGAGGAATATGAGCCCTTTTTAATGTATTTGAATATTGTTTATTCTATATTTAAATGTTCTTGTCTGTTTTTGATTTGTTTATTTTTTGTTTTTTGTATGCACCTGTTCCTAAGGGTAAATTGTGAAAAAATATATCTGAAAGCCAAGTTGTAGATGTTTATATAGTAAAAAGGTATTTTCCAGCCACCAGATGGTAGTGTCGACCTGCTTAGCTCCAGCCCATGACTTCCTGTAGCTCACAGTCAAAGGAGCAGGTACTGAAAGATGACCGCCTGCTGCTGCCTCATTTATCAAGCCAAAATAAAGTACAGTGAAAAACAAAAACCCACCGCAAAATGTTTGGATTTATTCTGCAGCTCACACACTGCTGTGACAAGAAACTACAGAACCACTACTGTTGAATTTCGCAAACTAAAGCAAAACTCAGTCAAATAAATCTGCTAGATGAATAATGGCATAGCCTCAGCTTAAAAACACACACTTACCTAATTCACAGCTCGTTTCCTGGCCTGAACAACGGCAGCATTTCGTCACATTAGCCTGAGTCACACACACACCACATGTGTTCATTCTGTCACACTGAAAGGGAGGAGTGTGTTCCCGAAACATGCACCACAAACTGCCAGTAACACCAGTGATCTTGGAATAATACAAAGTGCCCAGGGAGTTGGTTGTGTTTCACTTTTCAATTGAGCATTTGGAACAAATCGTGAACCGCGGGAGCCAGTGTAGTGTAATGACTGTTTACTCTGAACTGGAGGAAAATGGTGGACAACATAATGGTGCTTTCCTTTTCCTCTGACATGCTTTTGGCTCTTTTTTGTGTTGTTTTCTGTTGTCTGGCTTAGGGTTAGTGCAAAAAATGATTCTGGGCAGTGGGCTGTAATACAAAAATAATACAAAATATATATATAAAAAGTAAATATACTTTGACAAAAAGAAACCCTAATAAAAACTCCTTGGCATTTCATTGGCTGTATCAAAGTCAAAGTCAACTTTATTGACAATCTTTCAGTTTGTGTGTACAGACAGAGAAATCGAAATGCCGTTTCCCACAATCCCGAATACAAAAATACAAATGTAAATAATAATACTAATAACAATATAAAACATCTTTGTCCTTCCACACCCTTGACTCTGTCTGTTGACGTTTTCTCTTGAACTGCCTCATTGTAATCCTGAACAGTAATAAGAGGCTCCCGATGAGACATATTCCTGCAGGTGACTCACTAACTGAACACATGAACTGCAGCCAGTCAGCGCAGCATGGCTGTCTGTCGGCTGCACACATAGCTGCGGGTAAAACGCTCTGTAGCCTTAAGTCATGAACAGCTAGGCTCCAGATTTAGACAAACAATCCTCATTGTTGATCAGACAGGAGAGGATGATATATCATGTTTTCATATCAGTATGTAGTGTCTCTCCTGGGACATGTCTCCATGCTATAATGTTCAAAAAGCTCTTTATTTTTCTCATACTGCCTGTGCTGCAGCACCTCTTTTCACCCACTGTCTGAAACCAGAGCCCAGTCTGCTCTGATTGGTTAGCTACTTAGAGATGTCCTTCCCCTTAGCCAATAGCCAATCACGTACAATGTATTGGAGCGCTTGCCAATAGAAGCGCAAGTGTTACATAGTGATGTCACTGTAAACAAAGGAGTACAATGGAGGTGCAGGGCCACAATTCCCTCTGGAGAACTTTGGGATTTTAGCCTTTGCAGACCATATACATGCACACAAACCTATATAACACACTACTACAGGAAAGGAGGGACCCTAAAAGCACAATAGAGCCTCTTTAACGTGGTTATGGTTTGATGACAAGGATATTGTCAACACATTCAGACTTATACATACCTTTTAACATCTGAGTTGTGGTTTATTTATCTTTTGATTTGTTGTTTAAGGACCTATATCTTACAGTTTTTCTCGATTGCTAACACACATTTTTTTTTTAAATTGCTCAGTTTCTCAGAACACTAAACACAATTCACAAAACCCCACTCCCAAAGTGCAAAACACCTCATTTCTCCTGCTAAATTAAGAAATGCACTCAAAACTACATAAACACTTACCAAATGCAAATGTTTGCACCAAATATAACACACTTCATTCACAATACTAGATGGTTTGACCACCCAGCTACACACTGCTGAGCATAAAGCACTCTCATCTGTTATGGGCTATGCTCGTACATAGAGAGGTTTCTGCAGAGAAAGATTNTTGACCACCCAGCTACACACTGCTGAGCATAAAGCACTCTCATCTGTTATGGGCTATGCTCGTACATAGAGGTTTCTGCTTGAGTATACAGAAATACAGTAAATTAAGAAATACAAATGAGTTGTTGAAAAAATCACATTTTGCAACATGCATCTCAGCACATAGTTACTCTGCTTCGGATCTCTCTAAGTGTGATGGCATTGTTTGCCAAAACCCAGTTTGTAGCTGCTGCTTCCTGTGCCTCATTGAACATCCTAAGCCTTCCACCTGCACCTCTTTGTTTCTCAGTCCTTCAGATAAACAACAAAGATATAGTGGTTGGTCAGTATGTTGCATAACAGTCAGTTTACCACAGTACATTGTGCAGGATGTTTGTACAGTTATAGTCTGCAACATGCCAACAATTTAATTACAGTAATGAAGTAAATACGTTTCACACAACAGATATAAGCACTGATATATCATGAATTATGCAGAGCTAACTATCCTGTTTTCAAGTCTAAGTGTCCGGATTACAGAGGCAACAGTACATCGGTTTAGATTAGGCTGAACCCTCTGTCCAGCCTCTCATCGTCACACCATGGTTGATAACATTTCATTTCATTTGAGAGTATTCTTCTTTGTCCACGTCCTCTCCCTCCAGCTCTACCTCTACCTCTCATTCTTTCTCCTCTTTCTCTCACCCCACCTCTTCCTCCTCCTCTCACTCTCA